GTATTCACTGTAACTTGTCTGCATATGACAACGAAAAGTTTGTAGTGTATGTGTCACAACCCAACCCGCCAGGACGAATTCGATCGTGTTGAGTTGCGACGGCGAACCCTAGGATCTAGTTTTGGAATTGCTTTTCAGACTTTCTTCCGATATACACTGAAATACAGAACCACAGAGCCACTAAAAACTTTCAAATACAGAAGACTCATCCACAATATTTCTTTTATTCATCAAAATAATCATATACATTACAATACATGACTACAGACAGAAGGCACAGAGCAGAAAAGTAAACTAGCCATGACTGTACAAAAATCAAAATGATAAAATACCTATAACTTCATATCAGAACCTGAACGGCTAGTCCACAATTTCCTTCCCTTTCCCCGATCCTGAAAACTATGAATAAAATCAAAGTGAGCTAACAGCTCAGCAAAATCACACTAGCCGATCCAAATTTCCAAACACTCATTTCAAAATACTTTACAGAAGCTTTTAAAAATAATTTATTGCAGATCAAATAATTACTGAACTGAATATCATAGCAAATCATTCACTAATTCAAATAGCCGTACAAAATTTAGATATTCATCAGAAATCCAGATAAACACACAGAAATCAAATAATCATACATAAATCAAACAATCAGACAGAATTCAAATATTCATACAAAACAAATGAATCAAATAACAAATACAGAATAACGGAATAAAATTCATATCACAGAATTGTACAAATCACATTTTAGATCGGATTTCAAATCAGATGTCAAAATCACATTTCAAATCACATTTCCCTGACCCAGACAGAATCTCAAATAAAGATAGAATCTCAACAGGAGTAGGATGACTGTAGATTGTAATAATTCTCTTTAGTCATTAATAAAGCCGTTTTGCTTTGGATTCAAAAAAAAGACAGAATATCAAAGGATTCTGGCCCCTTATGTCTCCCTTCCTTGACACAGACAGAATCTCAAAGGATTCTGGCCCCTTATGCCTCCATTTGTGCTTACAGCACCAGAACATATCATATATAAAGAATTATCAAATTGGATTTCATTTCCCGGATCTAGACAGAACCTCAAAGGATTCTGGCCACTTATGCCTCCCTTCCCTGATACAGAGAGAACCTCAAAGGATTCTAGACTCTTATAACTCCCAAACAGATATCATTCAAATCACATTTGCACATAAAACATCACATCTTAACAAATATGGAGAAATTGAGCATATATCAAAATTTTACCTTTTTCGTATAGCGATAGACAACGGAAAACCAATGAATCAAAAAAGCAGTATTTCAGAAAATTACCAAATTACCAAAGATTGTATAAAACAACATTTCAAAGCTTTTATTGTACTGAAGCACTATTTTTCAACATTTAGATAATTTTTTATTTGGTAAAAACCCCGCAGATTTCAAAATACTCTGTGCAAAATTTCCAGAAAACACTCAAAACGTGCAAAATCATAATCTCTATGACATACCAAAAGTTACGTGGTAAAAGTTTTACCGGTGCAAAGTTATACCCGTTTTTCGCTAACGGAAACGAAACTTTAATCAGAATATTCGTCAAAGCTTACATTTCTGAAAATTAAGATAGGCATAATGTGCCTTACCTCGAGTCGATCAACTTTCCCAACTGCGACGACGGACAAAAACAGACCGAAGTCGCCCAAAATGTGGATTTTCTCTTCGTCTCTTTCTCTTTCTCTCTCCAGCCGTTTCTCTCTTCAAAAAATCGAACGAATGAGATATTTAATGGGCTGAGATATTTCAGATCGTACGGACGATATTTTTCGTTCGTCCCGGGATGATCTCCTCTGTCCACATATAGTACGGACGATAATTAATTTCGTCTCTGGACGATGGGCTCTGTTAAAAAAATTTGTTCAGTTTGTACTGACGGTTCGTACAGACAAACATGCACCATGTTTAGTTCGTACAGACGGTTCGTACAGACTAACCTGCACCAAAAATCTTGAAATTCAAGGGTTCTCACAGTATGTAGCAGGCCCGCCTACAAATAACGACAGTGAATGTACTACAAGTGTGCATTTTCTAAAGTCAGAAGAATTAAGCTCGTGACAAATGCAAGCAGCCACAAGCGATTGCAGGAGACTTGTTAGTGCACCACAGTCCACCTACATAAAGCAGCAAATGACCTGCAGAGCAGCGCCACGCCACTGAATTTGCAACATTCATACAAGAGGAGAGAAGGCATTTACCGGCTCAATAAGAAAGATTGTGCATCTTTCGAATGATTACCGCTTGCTAACAAGGATTTAGTGTTGCACGACAACCCACCCATGTCACCGAATCCGCAACAAGTATACAAGCGAACAGAAGACGTCTGTCAATTCCAATACACAACATATCAACAAAGACAACATGCAAAAGGTGAAATGCAATTCGTAATACCATGCCACCAGATCCGTAACACTCGTACAAGTGAACGTAAGGTGTCTACATGCTCCCAAATATAACACTATGCAAATTCAATGACAATTTCCCACACAACTGATCAACGACAAGTATCCTAAAATGCCCTCATACTTGCATTGCAACAAACATATGTCATCTATGCATTTTGCACTACATGCAAGTATCTACTGCACGAGTGTATTATACAAAATATATGCAAAAATATACGTCTGCATGGGCCCTAATGAGCGTAATGTACACATGTGACGTCTGAGAATGTTGTGTGGGTTAAGAAATGAGCCTAAATTCGAACCCGATCCTCCTACATGAATGTATAGGAGTTGACACGGCTCGAACCGTTAAACAAATATATGATCACGACATCGACCATAATATTATGTCTATAATAAAGAAAATTCACTAATAAAAGCATAAAGCTTGTAATGTACCTGATCCTCTATCAGCAAATAGATAGAGTCAACGAGGACCAACCAATAAAATGAAATTGCCCATAAACGCCCCGTAATGGCCGTGTTGATAGAAAAGTTCAATCGGAGGGGACTCCAAACACTCAAAAAGGCCTCCCAAATATCCATAAAAGTCCAAAATTCCAAAAATACCAAGCTCCAAATATTAAAATTGAAATTAATTATGAAATGCTTAAAGCAAAAACTCGTCCACCCTCCGCAATAGTATGCCGAGGTGGACAAATCGGAAAATTATTTCAGCTCACAAAGAGCTAATGTCTGGTCAAGAATATTACTAAGATTCATTATCAATCCATCTCTTGTTAGTATGTGTCATGTATCCTCTAATTAATAGTTTCACCACCAAATGACACCATAGGTAAACGATAATGACCGGGGCCCTCTGAACCAAGTGATTTTTCCGCCAAATGGCACCACTAAATTACGATAATTATCAAAGCCCATATACTCACCAATGGCGTTAAATCATGCAGTAAATCAATAGAGGATAAGATCGATAAGACACAAAGACCTCTGTTAGCTAAGGTGGATTCAAATGTCCACTTAGATAAATATTCATTCCAGGTCGATGAGATACCCTTGAATGAAGCAACCCATGACTGCCAACAAAGATCCTGCGGTCAGGTTGGATCGACTACCTTCTCTGACTAAGTAGATCGACTAGGGACCATGATGACCCGGGACAACGGAACCATGGGATCTTGATCGGGTCCATCATCATTCCCACACCATCCGCTTTAAGTGCAAGGTGATAAATTTCTAATTTTAAATATTAAATTTTTAAATACCTAAATCCTACTGCTACTATACGCCAAATACCACATATCTGTTTTGACAACTAGCCTTAATCGAAAGTTCTCTCTCATTATCGGGAGGGGTAATTAACTATAAGGGCTTGCGCCTATAAGAAATCATAACTCATATCATAAAGTCCTTGCAAAATGAGGGCGAAATCTTTGGGCAGTGTCTTATTTAAAACTCAATCTACCTTTTGAAAATTTGCCTCAAAACTTGAGCATTAAAACTCTCCACGATGATCCGAAAAGAAAGAAAAGGGGTCCGCGGAGAGGCTGAAGCGTGAATTTTTGGAGCCCACAAAGAAAAACTAATTTCTAAAATCTTATTTCATTATAAAATAACTGCCCTTACAAGAGAGGGAGGTAGCTCAATTTATAAGAATGGAGCCCCTTGCTGTCTAGGATAGGATAAGAACTAATCCTATTGATGAGTAGGAAAAGAAATAAGATAAAGCTAAAAAAAATTCAAAATTGGCCTGGTTTAGGACACAAGTTGAACCGGTCAGCCGTCCTTAATAGCACCAGCATCACACAAATGTAGGAATGGGACATAGGGAAACCTACATCAGATCAACTAAGTACGCTCGGGAACTCAATGGTTGCCAACACTTGGATCACATCAAAGAAAATGACATCAATGTGACACAAATGATGAATACCTCTCCATAATAAATTATATTCATTGAAGAGCAAAGCACTGACTAAAAGAGCACCCTTTGCCAATAGAATTACAATCTTAATATACAGAATAGACAATTAATATTGTGGATATGCATAAACAGATTGTAAACCTCATGAATGATAACAATATAGAAGCAAGTGAATGACGCATAAAGCAAAGTGGGTTTGAAAGTGAAGACAAAATGCGAATAATTCAATAGAATTATGCTAAAAATTAAGGCAAAAGCATATGCACAAAACAACATTTGTATTTTAAACAGAATAAAAAAGTAGAAAATGAAATTATGAAACAAAACAGCATCTATTGTGCAGTTAGCAAAGCGTTCAAAACAGTAAGAGTTCTATTGCATAAAAGCATTAGCTAAAAAGCAGATATAGAAACCTAAAAAAAATTTAAACATAAATAAAGCTGGCAAATTCCAAGAAAAGATGTGTGCTTTTGGAGGAATTTTTTTGTTTAAAGCCTAGTGTTTCAATAAATAATACCCAGTGTTCCAAAAAATAAAGGCATCTGAACTTTATTTTGCTTCACAAGCACGAGATTGGAAGGGTTTCATAATAGTCAATCAAAAAAAGATGAAAATATTACTAAAAAGCCAGAGAACCTTACCTACATACGAGCATTTCATTATTTGCATTCCCAATAACGGTAGGTTCGTAGAATGTCATGCCGAGACTGTGTCTCTTCCCACCAAGAACAATGTTAGCTCCCTGAAAAGATTACAATAAGTTGATGGAAACAAATGGAGTGTCCGAAAGAAAGATCTTACGAAGAGGTAATAATTGAAGCTTCCAATATCACTAAAACATCATAGGAAGCATCGATAACAGAAAATGGGCTTTTGCAGGAGATCTGGATATTTTTATATCGTGAAAGTAGATGAAAAAAATATTAATCACATCCGAAATTCATTACTTCATACCTTGGAGGTAGCATCTTTGACTAATCTCTCAACCTACAAAGAAAAGTTCAAAAAACAAGCAAACCACATAAGCAATCAAGGGCCTTAGGGCGATCAGCTACTAACAAAATGAGTACTGAAAATAGCATTATATAAAACTCATAAGGTTAATCATATCATTAGAGATCATAAAACAACCTTCTCAACAGCAGCTTCATTGATCAATGGTCCCTGTAAAAAATAAAAAGAAAAGGAAAACAAAAAGAACAACATTAACTTCATGATGGAATGATGGAAATAAACAATTTAAACAATAAAAAAAATGCTAAAAGGAATGCTTAGGCCACAATCTAGAATAGGTAAATTTGGATGCAATCTACAAGAAATCTTCCGCAACAGCAACAACAACATCAAGCCTTTATACCACTATGTAGAGTCGGCTACATGAATCCTTTTTCTCTATTGTGTCCCATTAAGAGTCAAGTTCTCATGTAAATCTAATAAAAAAATATCATTTCTAATATTTTCTAACCAAAGCTTTTTAGGTCTCCCTCTACCTTTCTTAATATAGGTCAAATTTAACATATCTACTCTCCTAACCAGGTCATCGGAAGGTCGACGTTTTATGTAACAACAAACCATCTAAGACAACTCTCTCTAATCTTATTTGTCACTGGAGCTACTCTAACCTTTCACATATATACTAGTTTTGCATTCTGTCTCTAAGAGTGAAACCACTCATCCACCTCAGTATCCTCATCTCTACAACACTTAACTTAATTTTATGCTTCTTTTAATGGCCAACATTTTGCGCTATCAAGCATTGCAGGTCTCACCACAATCTTATAGAATTTTCCCTTAAGTTTGATGGCACTTTTCTATCACACAACAGGCCAGATGCATTCATCCACTTCAACCATCCAACTTGAATTCTACTAATATTATCTCTATTTATTTCACCATTACTTTGAACAATAAACCCGAGATATCTAAAACGTGTACTCTTATTAATGACTTAATTGCTCAAAGTCACAATCTCACCACTAAATCTATTACTATTTAAATTACACTCCATGTATTCGGATTTAACTTTTAAATCCACTCAAACAAAAACCTTTAGACTCAAGGTTGACCTCAATAAGTCGAGAGTACCTTAAACTCCTTCTCTAGTCTTATTAAGAAGAAAAATATCATCAGCAAAAAGCATACAACAGGATACACCCTCTTGCAAATGTCTAATAAGACATCAATGAATAATTCAAAAAGATATGAACTTAAAGTTAATCCTTGATAAAAAAAAGGTTAATCCTTGATGTAATCCAACTAAAATAGGAAAGTACCCGGTCAAACCACCTTGTGTTTGAACACAAGTAACAACTCCTATATACATATTCTTAATGACTTGAATATAACTATTATTAACCCCTTTCTATCCTAGAACACTCCTGAGCACTTCTCTTGGAACTTTATCATATACTTTCTCTAAATCAATAAATATCATATGTAAATCCTCCTTATTCTCTCTTTCCTTCTCCATCAAACCTCTAAAAAAAAGTGAATACAGAACCCTCAATAGCTTAAGCCAGAAGGTAAAGTTTGCTGATCACACATGTCATTTGAAGACTTTTGAAACAATTTAATATCGTGGATGAAACCAATACATGAGCCAACCATATCTAAAATAGATACCAAGCAAAAGCAATGAATACCTGAGCGACACCTTCATCAAGCCCATTGCCAACCTGCATGTTCTTAACAGCCTCTGAGAAAGCATTTGCAAATTTTTCATAGATGCCTGCATGCAAAGGTTTGAAAACTTTAAAAAGATAGCCTCCTGACAAAAGAACTCATGGGTAAGTTTTACTAAATTTGATAGTAATTGGAATCGATTATAAATTTTTAAGAAAGCATATGGACCAACATCAGCATGAACAAATCTGTAAGAAAAAATCAACCCACCATGGTTTTATATCCTTCAACTAATGGTGCGACTATAATAGCTAAATACGAAACACAGATCAACTGCATCCTGGAAAGCGAGTTCCAAAATAACTCAGGTTGCACCCCTCTCACAAGATGTATCAATTTTTCAACAGCATTTTGTTTCCTAGGGATTTTACAAGATTAATTTGCTAACGCCCAATAGAATAAATTTAAATCCTGTCATGGTCCTGCCTGCTCCAATAGCTGCCAAATCTTGTTCAAACATTTTACTTCGCATAAAACTCATAGTCCAAATTGAAGTAATGTTAAACCTTCAAGAAATGCAGATGAGATAAAAGCCAATGACAATATTATGTATCATCCATCCTCTTCAAAGAAATTGAATGAATAGTTATTGAAATTTTATTATAGCACAACCACATTGATGAAAACTTTTGGCATTCACTTGCTTGCTTGGAAACCTTTTTATTGCCCGTCTAAATCCACAAACAATAAAATGCAGCACCATACTGTCATCATTCAGGAGGCTAACATTTTCTCATTAAAACATTTTACACTAGTCACAAATAAAAAACCCTTAATCAAAAATATTTGAAACGTGAAAGAGGGAAACCGAATAAATTTTAATCAAAATAGTTGTGAAGCACTTGTCTATAGAGGTCGTTTATGACTAAGAAGCTCACCAATCAAATATACCATTCACATTCATCTAAAAATTTATATAATAGAAATGTCATTCTGATTAAATTTAATCAAAATATATTCTGAGAATACAAAATATGCTCATTGTTTATATTATTTTTCATGGCATTATATTTTAATTCAATATATTCCACGAATTATTCTATCCCTCTGTCCAAAGCATCCTCAATGGACAAGCAAACGTTTTCCTATTAAAATCAAGTGTGCAGACTCTCTCCCTATTCTCTCTCTCTAAAATTTCTCTCTCCTTGACTTCTCTCAATCTAAAGACAAAAATAAAGACAACTATTGCCTACATAAAGAAAGGAGGAGGAAAAGAAGAAGAGGAATGGAATGCCAGAGGGGAAAGAAATCCGCAAAGAAAATAAAAGAAAGGAAGCCATAAAGCTAAAGCTAACTTCTAATTTTTTCCATCAAGTCTAATTTCCACTAAATATTTTTTAATATCTTTCTAATAATCATCATAAACTCCCATTAATTACCTCAATTCCCAATTTAGTGCAGCCCTTCAAGAACAATCTTAATCTTGGTTGAATTTGTAAAGTGCCATCAAATCAAGTCGATAACCCTAAAGGTTTTGTTTCACTCAATCATGTAGAAGAAAACACAAAAGAGAAGCTGATGTCGTGAGAAACGACTAAGAGGAAGAAGAAGAAGAGTGAAGGAATTAGAAAGAAATAGAAAGAAAGGGAGCAAGGAAGATGAGGATTATAAGCGAGCAGCCAGGAGGAAGCGATTTCGACGAAAAGAAGTCGTGTGCGTGCGGTTTAGGTTTGAAGAAGAGGGAAGAACGTAAACTTTTATCTTTTCTAAAATGATTAATGTTAATATATGTATATATTTAGTAAGAAAATAATCAAATTATATTTTTATATTAAATTTAAAAAGAAAATAATCAAATTGAATTATGAGATTAATTGCAAATAAATAAATAAAGTGTATGTTTGAGACATTTCAATACAACAACAACAACAACATCAAGCCTTTATCCCACTACGTGGGGTCGGCTACATGAATCCTTTTTCTCCATTGTGTCCTATTAAAAGTCAAATTCTCGTTTAAATCTAATAAAGAAAGATCATTCCTAATATTTTCTAACCAAGTCTTTTTAGGTCTACCCCTACCTTTCTTAACATAAGTCAAATCTAATACCTCTACTCTCCTAACCGGGTCATCGCAAGGCCGCCGTTTTATGTGACCAAACCATCTAAGGCGACTTTCTCTAATCTTATCTTCTACTGGAGCTACTCCAACCTTTTCACGTATATGCTCATTTCGTATCCTATCTCTAAGGGTAAAGCCACTCATCCACCTGAGCATCCTCATCTCTGCCACACTTAACTTAGTATTATGCTTCTCTTTTAAAGGCCAACATTCGGCACCATAAAGCATTGCAGGCCTCACTACCATCTTATAGAATTTTCCCTTAAGTTTGAGGGGTACATTTCTATCACATAACAAGCCCGATGCATTCCTCCACTTCAACCATCCAACTTGAATTATGCTGATAATATCCTCATCTATTTCACCATCACTCTGAACAATAGATCCAAGATATCAAAACGTGTACTCTTATTAATGACTTGATCACCCAAAGTCACAAACCCCTCACTAGGCCTATTACTACTAAAATTACACTCCATATATTCCGTTTTAGATCTACTCAAGCGAAAACCTTTAGACTCTAAGGTTGACCTCCATAATTCAAGTTTACCTTCAACACCCTCTCTAGTCTTATTAGCAAAAAGAATATCATCAACAAAAAGAATATACCAAGGTATGTCCTCTTACAAATGTCTAGTGAGAACACCTATAACTAAAGCAAAAAGATATGGGCTTAAGGCTGATCCTTGATGTAACCCAACCGAAATAGGAAAATACTTGGTCAATCCACCTTGTGTTTGAACACAAGTAATAGCTCCTGCATACATATCTTTAATGATTTGAATATAAGCATTATTAACCCCTTTCTTATATAGAACTCTCCATAGCACTTCTCTTGGAACTTTATCATATGCTTTTTCTAAATCAATAAATATCATATGTAGATCCTCCTTATTTTATCTATATTTCTCCATCAAACCTCTTAATAAATGTATGAACTTTATCATATGCTTTTTCATTCAAATCCGGACCAATTGATCAAAATTAAGTTTGGTTTGGAAAATACAAAATAGTTTTGTCGGTATAGTTTTTTTAAGTTTATATCTAAGATAAATTAGTTAAGCTATGCAAAGATGGGGGGGGGATGATGATGATGAATCCTATCAAGATCCCATGGTTTCGTCTTCCCTTATCATCATAGTCCCTAGTCTGCGTAATCAGAGGAGGTAGTTGACCCAATCTACCGAAGGATTTTTATCGGCAAAAATGAGTTGCTTCGTATAAGGGTACCTTGTAGATATGGGGTGAATGTTTGTCTAAGGTACGAATTTAAGTCAACCTTAACTTACATAAGGTTTTTTCCCTATCGTTCATACCCTATGATTTATTGCTCAATTGTAACTATCCATTAGGGAACATGTAGTCTTTTAGCCATGACCATAAGATAGTGGAGTTGTTCGACCAAACCACTAAGTTAGAGGGCCGTGGTCATAATTGTTTACCTCATAGAGTCGGTCTGGTCAAGCCACAAGTTATTTGTGGAGCCATCTGGCCAAACCACCTATTAGGGACCAATCATAACCATACCACGTAGAGCCGTTTGGCCAAGCTATGGTCTTCGTGGAGCCATCTGGTCAAGCCACCGATTAGAGGATAAATGCCACGTCTTTACTGACATAATAATATTTGGAATGAATCTGAGTGATATTCATGACTAGACATCTGCTCTTTGTAAGTTAGAGTTATCCTCGAGTTCATCACCCTCGCCAAATGGTTGTAGAGAATGGATGAATTTTGCTTTATATTATTAAATGATTAAATTTTAATTTTAAATATTAATATTATTAATAGATATATAACCTTGGAGTTTTGGTCGAATTCAAAAATTAATCCCTCTAGTTGATATTTGCTTTCAACACGGTTATCATCGGGGATTTTGAAGTCGTTTGAAAATTTTTATATTTCATAAGAATTTGGAGCCATTTGAAAGTGTAGAGTCCCCTTTGGTTGAGATAAACATTCAACACGACCATCGTTGTAGAATTTGAATAGCTTGTATATTTGTCATTTGAGTCATGTTAGCTCTGTTTGCCTGTTAACAGAAGATCAGGTTCGATTACTTATATTATAAGTTATCGTAAAAATGCTAAGAACATAAAGCTTTATGTTTTATGATGCATTTCATCTAAAGAGCCTTTGAAGGCCTACTATTAGCTTTGTGGACGACTGTTCCTGTTCCCGTGGCTGTCCGTTCATGCCCCCCTTGTGGTCCCTTCGGGTGTTGCTCTTGGAGCCGCCTATTGGCCTTTTGTCTTCCTGTTCTCTGGTTGGTTTGGCTGGAGTTTGTTTGGGTTGTTTGGCTTCCTCTTTTTACCTATATAAAGGCTATTTTGGAGCAGGTTTTTAAGCATGTTATGGAGAGATTTTTGGAAGCTAAAACCTGAGAGTTTTTCGGATAGCTTGTGAGCTATGCCTCTTCGTCTTCCCCTTCTTCTATTAATTCGTCTCGGGCTTCTTATCTTATTTTTCTCTCCACAAGTGACCACCCCATTTGTATCTTTCGGCTCTGAAATATTAAGCAAAAGCCTAAAAGGATACATGCACACATATATATTTATATGTTTTCTAGAACATTAAAGTAATGACGATTGAAGAGTTCATACTATGGAAACTCACATGATAAATTCCCTTTTACTAATGCAATACACCAATCAAACCAACAAATATACAATAAATGCATGAACCAACCATGTATTAAGTTGCATGCCTTCTGGAAGAATCAACATCATGAAAATCAAAGAATTCTCAAGCAACCAAAGCCATCCATTGCACCTACTATTCATCACATAGCCAAGCATTCAATGCAAGTCAAGGCAAATGTTTCATGGTTCATCAAATTCAATTGATGAGAACATTTCTAAATGATGAGAGACGGGAGAATTTTTGTTCATGATATTCTCAATATATTTGATGCTCGGACAAATTATCTCAAAAATGCATGCAATGGAGGACATATATATACATATCCAATTTATTATCTTATCT